AAAAAAAAAAAAAAAAAAAAAAAAAAAAAAAAAAAAAAAAAAAAAAAATCGACAATCCATGAAGGACCAGAGGTTAACGATATGAAAAATTCCCCAAAAGACATTCCTTCCCAGGGGTCTGGTGATGATGGGAGCCATGGTGCAGCAGCTGAGAAAGGTTGGCAGAAATGAGTGCACAGAATGGACCCACAGCAAGTAGGCTAAGCAGCAAAGTGGGCTGCCGGTCCCGCAATGATACCGGAGGCTATCGGGAAGCTGGGAAGCTGGGAGTGCACAGGATGGACCCACAGCAGGTAGGCCAAGCAGCAAATGGTTGACTGCTCTGATTCGGTTATCGCCAGTTGCAATCGACCATTCCGATCACTGATCTATGATATCATCGGCTATGACAGGCTATGACGATCTGTACAAAGCCATGACCTCACAACAGGGAAAAGTGCCTCACCAGTGTACGATTACAACCTGCTACAACACAACTGGATGACAGGAATTGAGGAGGATGGGAAAGGACTGTGAGGAATGTGAGAAGCACAAGGTTGTATATTGTACAAAGACCCCGGAGGTCACCGTGCGGCAGAAGGAAGAGGATGATGAAGCAGCGGATACATATAAAGAAGAGGAGAAATGTGGTGCTACCAGGATGTGCACAATCCAACAACAATTCATCAAACAGAAAAGAGGGGATGGTTGGCTAAGCGGGGAGTATTCATAAACTCCTCCACTTGTTCTGCCATCAGCATCATTGTTGCCCAAGACCACAAAAGAAACCGCCCACCTCTCTCTCTGTCTTAATCTCTCTGTGTACCCTCGCCTTGCCCCTCCCTCAGCTCCTCTGTCATATGATGAATAAGATGACATCAATCCCCAAGCACTATCTATGCGCCTTCTTCTCCAAACTGGATGACCTCCTCCTCCTCTCTTCCTCCATCTTTGGTACTTCTCCTATACTTCAACCTCCTGATTCCGATTTTTCTCCTCCTCTTCCACAATAAGCACATCAGCACCATAGATATCCTCATGTCGTTCCAACCCGTTCGGTGTGATGCTCCCATTCTACACTCGCGCATGCACGTGCGCACAAGAGAGAGAGAGAGAGAGAGAGAGAGAGAGAGAGAGAGAGAGAGAGAGAGAGAGAGAGAGAGAGAGAGAGAGAGAGAGAGAGTCTCAACATTATCACCGCCATCAGCAGAGAATTGCCTGAAACACAAGCAGCATTGAACGATCATCACTGCTTTCCTATACCTGGTAATTCTCCCACATCTGCCGTGCTGTCACATGTCGGCCAAGGGACAGCTCCCCACAATCGAACTTCCCAGCTGAATCCTTCCGTGTTGCAGCTTCAGCATTCTTTACAGCATCTGCGGGTGAATATGCCTGCAAAACGGTCAAGAATACCCTTGGAAGTTGGTAAAATAATTGACTCTCTTAAACCACTAGTACCTCCAAGCCTGTTTTTGCCGAGCCTGAATTTCACTGCACTCCAAGTTTTGCCAAGCCTGGGTCCCACTCCATTTTCTCTGGTACTCTCACAGAAAGAAGAACAAAAAAAAAAAGAAGAAGAAAAGTGGCGGCCGTTAAACTCACAAAAGATGAAAACAAAAAAAGGAAACAAAGGTTTGGCCATAATTGCAGTTGTATACATTCTTGGAAGTGGTACTGTGAGTGTGCCCTCAGTGACGGCATCTCAGCCCCGTGGCCAGTTGTCAGATTCCAGAAAGACAAAAGAAGAAAAAAAAAAACGGAAACACAGATTCGGTCGTGAAAATGGCTGGATACATTCCTCTAAGTGCCAGTGTGATCAGCGTTACGATCCTCTGAGGAAACACAACTTGAGCAGATCACGGATTCCGCCCCGCCTCGTTGGCAGGGGACTATAAGAAATAGAAGAGAAACAAAAGAAAACAACAACATTCAGAATGTGACCGTGTTAGCTGTAAGATTCATTCTGTGGAGGAAGACTGTGAGCACAGCCTCCTAGACTACCATGCCTGACATCATTGCAGTAGAGAAAGCATCTTCTTTTTTTCCTTTTCCATTCACGTGCGAGCAATATAAAACTAAGATTTATGAGACTTGTCGACCCTGGGTCCCACCCATGAATTCTTGGGGAACGAACATTTCGACGTAATTTCCCAACACTGGCAGAGGTACTAGTGGTTTAAAACGATAATGCTTGAGCAAAATCATGCCAATATGCAAAACTTTCCTAAGTTTCCTGGGATTTGTGGACACAATCTTGGCTGAAGAACCAGAATTCATTATGCTTTACTCTTCTTGTAAACCTAGACTAAGATGCAGATGTGCTGGGGTACGAAAGGGTTGCCACTGCTGTACCCAGGAGGCCGGCCGTGCAAGGCCGAGGCAAGGTGCCACACATTCCCAGCGACAAGCTTCAGGAAAATGAAGTGCGTGTGGAACTGCAATACAATCAACTTTTGGCTGACGTTCGACCCTCAACCCTTCTTCACTTCAACTTCCAGGACACAGAAAAACAAGTTGACAAAGTTTAGGATACATCCCAGCGTCGTCACACCGATGGTTGGCGCCCACCATTGTCGTTTGCCCACCATTGCATAAAGTGAGCAGTAGCGGTTTTGGAAAACGCCAAGGCCTATGCCCAGTCACTTAAATAGGGCCTCACCGCACTACTACACATCTTGTGAAATGAGAAACTATATCGTGCCAGAACGTGGAGACAAACACCCTGTTTTTCATGCATCCAAGTTGGGACCTTTCACTGAAACAGAACAGTTTGGACGCCCTCCGAAACCGCAGATGCAGTATCGAGTGTGGTTCAGACATCATACGGATCCTAAACAAGATTGATGGTTTACAAGAGAAGAATTGATGAAGACTGCTCCCCAGATTATCTCAAGTTCCGAAAGAAACTTGAAAGGGAAGCAGCCTACTGTGTACTGACTTCAAAGAGGACGAAGTAAAGGAGGAGGGAGTGTGAGGGTGTACCCCTCGGCATAAGGCCCTGCAGCAGGCGCGTGAAGGCGGGCCCCCGGGCCCCCTGAATCTCAATGTGCCCTGAACTCGTCAAGTTTTGCAAATCTTGGTGGGCGCCAGACAGTTGCCACGTGCCAGTTGGTTACATCCGCTTTGAGAATCGGAAGTATGCATGAGCCTTCCAGGCTCTTCCAGCAATGTGGTCAAAGAAGGGAGCACTGCTCGTTTGTGCCTGGGTGGTTGGGCATGGCTAACCAATTCGGTCCCAGGCGGTGTCTGAACGGGCCTGCGCGCAGACACTTTGGCCGAGACTGAAGCTACTGGAAACTCGGTCTCACAGGGGAAGCAGGTGGAAAGCGCCCGCCACTTTCCGTATAGGAAAGGGCTGGGCTCCGGTCACGGTATTCGGGCACTCGCGTGTAGATGCGGCAGCACTGCTGGAGCAATCACTCGCGGGCTGCTGCGCTAACGCTAAGGTGCAGGCGCGCGCGGGCATCGGGAGGGTGCAGGGTGCTGATGAGGGCAGCGCCATAGCCCAGCCTTCATAGCCAGGCTGGGCCTTGGGCAAAGCCAGTGGAGGTGATGCTGGTCTTCATGTATGAGGGAGAAGACGTGGGTGAGAAAGTCGAGGGTGAGAGAGAGAGAGAGAGAGAGAGAGAGAGAGAGATGAGGTTGCTGATGCGAGGGCACGTACCTGCTCTTGGTGATGGTTTACAAGGGTGGGCATCTTCATGTACTTGGGTTCTGCTGCTGACGTAAACTAAATGCATTGTCAATTCCTAGGCTGCTAGTAAGCTGTGTGATCGTAGTCTGGGCGCTGAGCACCAAGTAGGAGGAAGGACTCTGGATACATATGTTGGCGGTGGCGAGAGTATGCTCTCATCGACATTCGGATTCAGTGCTTTGGTTCTCCGTCGGTGGAATATCAGTGCGTTTCTGCTTTCTGGACAGCGTTGGACTTGCTGGCTTTCGATGTGATTTTGCATTCTGGATTTCTGTCATTTCGCTCTCTCTCATTTTCCTTCCAAGGCGCAGACTAGCGGCAGAGGCCAACTTTCACTTCCAACATGAAAATCCATCTGCGCTGTAGACTGATCGGATCTGACGCTGTAGGAGTGCTGAAAAACGAGCACGTCCATGGGCAGGGTGCAAAGAAAATGGCTCCTTAGCTGGCAGCACCCTGTGCACTGACGTTCTGGCACTGCTACTAGGTTGGGGAGATCAGGGAGAAGGACAGCAGTCAGGCAAGGCTGCTGGAGGAGGGGACGTTTGGGCACTGGCTGCTGGTGGTAGCTCTGATGGAGCGCATTTCGGCCAGACTTGAGTCAGGAGAAGGAGATCAGCCAGTTGCTTTGCCAGAAGCTGCCATAGCTGGCAGTGCTGATCCAGGAAGACGGGTGCTGCCAGGTTGGGGAGATCTAGGGGGAAGGACAGCAGCTGCCACAGTTGGCAGCGCTAAGCGCTCGAGACACCTTCCTAAGCTTCCTTAGCTTTTATGGAGTCAAACAGCAGCAGCAACCAAGTCCCAAAAGCCAAGAGCTTGAAGCAGTCTGCAGGGAAGCGTTTTAGCATCACGAAGTTGATCTCACAGCCCATCTATACCAGAGAATCGTCATTTACAGAGATGGAATAATGAATTCGTTGTTGTAATTTGCCATATGTAATTGACTCGCTTCAGGGGCCCCTTATGCAAGCGTGCCCGCCCTAAGTGAAGGCGGGCCTAACAAATCACAAGAAGCCGAATGCTGTCAATTTCGTATTTGGCGTTCAGGCAGTTGTGTCACGTCAGTTGGGTGAGAGAACCCAGGACCCGAGCAGCAAATACTTTCCACGGCCTTCTAGGCCTTTTTTTGAAATGCAGGCCCTGGGCCACATTCGCAGCAACATACACAGACAGTTGGGAGGCGTAACTGAACAAGGCCCAGCAGCAGCAGCAGAGCCCCAGCTACCTGGGGCCTACCGGAAGCTTCTGGGCGCAGGCCCAGCCCAGCCAGGCCGCAGGCCAGGCCAGACTCTTTCCATATAGGAAAGAGTTCTCTGCCTGGCATCTCATTCAAGCACTTGTCAGTTTGCAGCAGCGCTGCTGGAGCGATTGCTCGCGTGCTGCTGCTAGTGCTGGGGCAAGGTGCTGCGCACGTGTGGTCGTGTAAGGAGAAGGGTGCTGCTGTGGGCAGCGCCATAGCCCA